ATTATTATGATTCCCATTTTACAGCTGACAAAACTGAGGCTTAGAAAGTGATTTATTTAAGGTCACATAGCAAGTAAATGCCAAAGTTAGAATTTGAACCCAGACTCCCAGCAGATCTTTCCATATTTCCCACATATTTCCATATTTCCACCATATTTCTAACACTTGAGTATCCTCTCTGAGCCTCAATTTCATCAGTTATGAAATAGATGGAAGGAAACAAGCACTTATTAAATGTATGTTAAATATTATAATTAATTATTTTTAATTTAACCTTACCTCACTGTATCAATTCATATGAGCCTTCTCAGGTTTCTTTAAAATTGTCTACTTCACCCTTTCTTATAGCACAATAGTATACCATAATTTGTTCAGCCATTTCTCAATTAATGCCCCCCCCCAGTTTTTGCCTCTTTGCCACCACAAAACAAGAGCTGCTTATTGATAATAATTTAATGGTTATTAAATATTAGTAAATGCCTGCTATGGGTTAGGCACTGTGCTAAGCACTTTACAAATATTATCCCGTTTGGTCCTCACAATATCCCTTCAAAGTAGGTGCTGTTATTATTATCCCTACTTATAGCTGAGGAAATTGAGCCAGATAGAAGTTAAGTGACTTGCTCAGGGTCATACAGCTAATACATTTCTGAGGCAGGATTTGAACTCATATGTTCCTGACTCTAGGCTCAATTTTGTATCCCATGTACCACCTAGTCACCTAGTTGCCTCATTAGAGATAACATTTGTCCCACCTACCTTGCAATATGTTGTAAAAATTAAATAAAGTTATACTCTGGAAGGGTGGAAACTATTAAATACATTTCCCTGCTCTCCCACAGGGCATACCAGCCAGCATAAGCATTAGCTCAGAATTAAAGACATCTAACCAAAGCCTAGGAAAAAAAAGTGACAAGATTCCCCCAAACACATGGGGTCCTCTCTCCTAAATGTTACAGTCACAAGTTTGGGGGAGGCTTGGAAGTAGAGAACCCATGTGGGCTGGATCACTGGAGGCCTTTCAGCATAGGTGTTATGGAGGTGGAGGGTCCCATTTGATCAGATCTGACCTTTGAGACTATTTCTTTTACTGTCACAAGGCCCTTCACATACATTATCTCATTTAATCCTCCTCACAGCTCTCTGAAACATCTAGGCTAGGAATTACAATGAGCAAACCATCAGAGAGAGTGAGTGACTTTGTCCAAAGTCCTATAGCCACAGAAAGTATTAGAACCAGGACTCAACCCTAGGTCTTCTGAAGTGGTCCTATATGCTTTTCCTTATACCACAGCTGCTTTTCATTTTTACCATACTGTAATCCAATATATAAATGAGTGAATGCAAAGATGGAAAGGAATTTTTAAAAAATTAAGTGGAGTACAAATGTCAAGGTAAAGATAATCTTGAGGGCAGGAGCCATGCCTTCCTTATACTTGCTTATATCTCCCTCATAGTACTTTGTATGTGTTCAAAATTATTAAACATATCTCAAGATCCTACTGTGTATAAATATGGGGCAGCTAGGTGGCTCAGTGGATAGAGTGCTGGGTCTGGAGTCAGGAAGACCTGAGTTCAAATCAGGCGTCAAGCACGTACTAGTTGTGTGACCCTAGGCAAGTCACTTAACCTCTGTTTACCTTAATCCACTGAAGAAGGAAATGGCAAACTGCTCCAATATCTTTGCCAAGAAAACCCCACAAACAGTATGGCCCACAGGGTCAGGAAGAGCCAGCCGGATTGAACAACTAAACAAACAACAACATATACAAACATGATCCTAGACTGGGGATGAGGGTAGAGTTCTGGGGAGAAGAATATAAAGATAAACAAAACCAGGCTCCAGCTCTCAAGGGGTGATAGGAGAACACATACTAGGTGCTTGATAAGTATTTGGATGAATAAAGGAATGAAAGTTTACACTTTAGTAGGGGAGATCAGACGTAAATATTTGCTGACAAATACCTCATTTTCAATAGGTAGTTCGTGAGGATGGAGGTGAATATGTTGAAAGGTTGGTTAGGTTAGGTTAGGTGTAGGGTTAGGTATCAGAGACATCTACTGGGGTGAAGCTACCTTTTCCCCCATCTCTTGCCCGTGTCTATCAACTGGATTCCTAGAGGTTGCCTAGTGATCTGTGTAATGGAGGTAAATCAGCTCCATTTCCCCTCCCCCATTAGACCGTACCCCACTGGAGCATTTCCAGAGTTGAATTGAACTGAGCTCTCCTAGCTATTTCCAGTGATATATGTGGCTTAGCACTGCAGAATGTGTTCTTTAGAATGATGAAGCAATTCTCTTAATGGTCCCTTGGTTCTTACCTTTCTTTTCCCAACCTATGACAGGGTGATGAGGATTGGCCACTAATGGGAAAAGCTTTCCATTCAGTAGACTTCAAAAGGAAAGACAACTTTGGTTCTTGCAGTCTTCTTCCTCTCTGTAGCTTATTATCCTCTCTGAGATTTCTTATGGGGAGGAGAAGAAGGGGATTTCTTCTTTCCTTCTCCTCCTCTGGCAGCAATGGCTATTGATCGAATATGGCAGCTAGAGTATGTGCTCTTCTAGGTGAGCCCGAGTCAGCCTTTCAAGGCACTGCCTATCTCTTCTTTCTTTTCCTGAACATATGTGACCAAACAATGATTTTGAGATGGGAGTTCCCACATTGGTGGCAATCTCATGAGTTTGAGATGTTGGAAACTCCAGAGTCCCTTAGTTGGTGTTGAGAGATATTTCGATGACTGATAGGAAGATGAGCCCAAACCAGGCCAGACTACTGATTAGTCTCATGGCATCCATAAGACCCTGTGTCACCATGCTGGGTAGAGATGCCCTTAACAAATCAGAATGCAAAAAAGCAGGAGACATCAAGATCTCCTTTAGTGCCATCAGCTTAAGCACATAAATTTCAGCCTGGGCTTAGATGTTGGAGGCAGCAAAATATATTGGAAAGGAACACTAGAGGAAAGGGGGTTTAGGAGACATGGCCTCTAGTCTTGTTTATTCAACTGAGAGATAATTACTACAATGAGATGGACGTGACCATGACAGTACAGAGGACAGTTTGGGGAAGGGAGTGCACTTGGGCTGAAATTCAAGGGCATTTAGACCCTTGCCCCCCCAAATTAGGGAGGAAGTCGACCTAGCACAAGGAAGGGACCTTGAGTAAGGGGTTGGGGGTGGACCAGGGCACTTGAGCCCTTTGAAGGGATAAGCCAGCTGGTGAATTACCACAACATGATGTTTGCAGACTCAGTTACCCTGGGAAGCCAGGAGTGTGCTGGAGCCAGGTCAGAGTGGTGGATGGGAAGAGCCTATTGTTAAATTCTCAGTGTGAGCATTTGAACCCCAGAAATCAGCAAAGGTTGCAAATCAAGGTTTGACTTAATGTCTTGTTGATTGTCTAGATTTAAGAAAGTGATGAAGTAAATGTTAATAATGCAGATGAAACTTAAATGGGTGTTATACAGTATTTTTTTCTCATTCAAAAACATTTATTAAACATTTACCAGCACACCCCTGATAGGTTTCACCCTCATACCCACCACATTAGTGCCCTGGGAAAGAGCACCATTGCACCCAGTGGTAGCTCTTAAGGCACTAACTAGCTGTGTGATAGTTGGGCAAATTCAATAAATACTTATTAAATGCCCACTATGCTCTCTCTGGGTCTGGGTTTTCTTCCTAAAAGGGAGCAGCTAGGTGGCAGTGGGCCTGGGCCTGGAGTCAGGAAGACCTGATTTCAAAACTAGCCTCAGACGCTTACAACCTGTGTGACCCTGGGCAAGTCACTTAACCTCTATTTGCCTGTTTCCTCATCTATAAAATGGGGATGATAGTAATAGCACCTACGTTCCAGGGTTATTGTGAGGATAAAAATTAGGTAGCAATTGTAAAGTGCTTAGTACAGTGGATGGCACATAAACGTTAGCTGTTAATTATTATTATGAAAATGAAAGGTGTTGAAAAATGATATCCACATCCAGATTAAGAACTGATGGACTCTGGAAGCAGATCGAAGCATACTATTTTCACTTTTTGTGTGTGTGTATTTTTTTTTTCGTTGTTTTTCCCTTTTGTTCTGTTTCTTCTTTCACAACATGACTAATGTGGAAATATGTTTAAACATGATCGCACATGTATAACCTACATCACCGAAGGGAGGGGAGGGAGGGAGAAAAATTTGGAACTCGCAATATTATTTTAAAAAATGAATGTTGGGAGGAAAAAAGAAAATTAAAGGGTTGGGGTTAGATGTTAGATGTGGTTAGGTGACTATCAAGGACGGCTCTAACAGCATAGGAGCCAGTGACGTCACACGCCCACCCATTACCGAACCTAATTTGTTTGATTTAGACAGGCAGTGTTAGGACAGCGCCTAGCGACCCTATCTCCAGGTTCTGATACACCAGAGTTCAAGTTCTGCCTTGTGACCTTGGGCAAGTCACTGCCCTCTCGGCACCCGTAAGCAGCTCTCCGACTACGAACTGCACCGCCAAGTACACGTCAGTACCGGGAGCTCCCAGAGGTAGTGAAAGCTAGATCACTCTACCCGGATCAGAAAGCTAAAGCTTTTCATTGTTTTGGCTCGGAGAGCCGCGAGGTCACGCCCCGTCCTTCGAGGGGGTGGGGGTGGGGGCACCTTGCTATCGCCGACCCATTACTTCCGCCATTGGTCCGCCCGCAGATCCTTCCTAGGTCTGCGCATGCACTTGAAAGCCCGCGGTCGCGGTGGTGGGGTGAGGCGGTGGAGAAGGCGGAGCATCGAGCGGGTGGGGTGAGGAGTGGTTCCTAACGGAAAACAGAAGGACCCTGGGAAAGCCTAGGGGGCCAGTTCCTCAGGACCGAAGGAGGAGTGTCCTCCAGCCTTGGGGGAGGGGAAAAATGGCCAGAGAGACGCTGCCATTGGTGTAGGGGTAGAGGCGGGGATCTATGATTGGCCACAAGCTGCCGATGGGGTTTGGTTGGCTGGAGAGTCGCAGATTTGAATTTAAAAAGGTCAAGCGGCGCCGACGCCTGCGGACTGTGTGGGAGGCTGGGACCTGGGGAGATTTTCTTGGGGGTCCTAGAATGTGTATTGTTGAGTGGTAGGAGGGGGAATCCTCTCCGCCTCGCCCCGCCCCTGCCCGGCCTGCCCCCTCTCCCCTCCGGTGCCTTCCCTGGACTTGACGGAACCGGAGTAGGAGCAGCTGGTGAGTGAATGGGCCCGCGACTCGCGACTCCCCGCGCGGGACGGTGCGGGGAGGGTCCACAGGGGCTCGTGGAAGCCCCCGCCGGGGGCCTGCCCCGGGCAGATCAGCCCCTGCCTTTCCCAAATCCCTGTCCCTTTCATCACCCTTCCCCTCCTCCCCCGCCGGCCCGTACCTTCGGAGAGTCCGCAGGGGATCCCACCGGACCCGAGTGTGTGTGTGTGGGGGGGGGGGTGTTGGTCTCAGCTGTCCTAGGTGGGTCTCTGCAGAAATTGCAAACTGTCCAGTTGCATCCCCCACGACCTGTGTGTGTGTGTGCGTGTGTGTGTGTGTGTGTGTGTGTGTGTGTGTGTGTGTGTGTATACACATGTATACCCGCTCTCTCGGTGTCCTTGGTAGAAAGGGAACATTTATCTTTTTCTTTCCCCTAACAGCCTACTTATCATTTGGGAGAAGAGAGCTGAAACTGGAATCGGAGAAATGATTTTTTTTAAATTAAAAAATAGGGGGTGGGAGGGGTGCTGGGGTGGCTTTCTTTGTATCTCCAGTCTTGAGCACAGTGCTGACACGTAGAAGGTGCTTAATAAATGCGTGTTGATTTCACTTTTGAATCCAATGCTTGCTTTTCTGCCGCCAGTGTGTGACTTCAGACAAGTGACTTACTCTCTCTGGGTCTCCTTGTTCTCTTCTGTTGAAGGAAGGAGTTGGATTACGTGGCCACCAGGATCCTTTCCAGTTCTAGATCATAGGTCCTTCTCTGTGGTCTTTAAGATGGCACCTCACCCTGCAAACTGCATCCCATATGTAGAATTAGAAGTGACCTCAGTTTGTTTAGGCCCTCATTTTACAAATGAGAAAATAGTGGTTAAGTGACTTGCCTGAGGTTTTACAGGTGACAAACATCCGGGTCAGGAGATGAACTCAGGTGTTCAGGCTCCTAATTTAGAACTTCTTCCCTCTGATTTGGAATGGGGAAGAGAGGGCTGTTAACATATGAAGATATATATGACGCTAGGACATATGCTGTAGTACAAATTTCTTTCTTATTAGAACAGGACCAAGGTGTCCTAAGCACAATACAACTTAGGTTTCAGCCCATGGGATTAATTTGTGTTGTGGAGAAGATGAAGTGGTACATGATGGAAACATAGGTGTCCAACTTTCCATCCATTGGAGAAATCCCTAATATTGTCCATTTTAACTGTGACAGCACATTTCATTATTAGACAGCTTCAATTCCCAATTTAAGCTGAAGTCTGCCTCCCTATAATTTTTGCAGGGAATTTCTTCCTCTACTCAGCCTTTCATATATTTGAAAACTATCATATATCTTCATTATCTTCTTTTCTTCAGATATAGCACATCAAATTACTTCTACTGGAACTCATATAATATGATGTCTAGACTTCTAAAAATCTGGTTCCCCTCCTAGTTTTTAATAATAGCTCTAGCAAGCAACAAATACTATATAGTAGAGGACCTCTGAAATCTAAAGGAAAAAGGCTGTATGTGGGGTTTCTTAAAGATCCTTTCCCACCTAAGGGGAATTGGGGGGAGAGGGCGTCACTGTATCCTTTATTTATAGTTGGAAGAATAACTCTTTAGTTCCTTCATAACAGTATCATTTCTAATATAGACTTTTTCATCTACAAAATACTTTATATATACATACAAAATAAACCTGTTACTATTCAGTTTAAATTTGGACTGTATTGAAACCTTCATTGTACACACTCCTGACTAAAGCAAGCTGGATGGTTTGGAGAAGCCAACTACGTGTGGATTACAAATTTGTTCCAGTTAAACTTTGCTCAAAGGATGAGAAGTTGATTATGTTAATATTTTTGAGAAGTTCGCTAGCCTTTCTCTTTTCATTATCATGAGAGAATAGGATGATGTATTCATCTTGCACTGTGATCTTTTTCCCAACCAATGGTCCTTTCTCTATCAGCACTGAATCAAGAAAGGGGCCTTGGAAGAAGAGAACCAATCAAATGAGATATGTGTAAATAATTAGCATCATGTCTCAGTGCATAGTAGGAGCTGAATAAATATGCTTGTTTTCCTATCCTTTTCTATTCCTACTGCTAACAACCTTAGGTCTAGCCCATTCATTTTATACCCAAATTATTACAGTTGGTTCCTAGCAGTTCTTTCTCCCTCTAATCCTTGATACTGTTAAGTTAACTTTCCTAGCATATTCTTTGGTAAATATTGGCCTCTACTCAAAAACATCTAGTAGATTCCCTTTGTGTCTGCAAGTTAAAACTCCAAACTCTTCAACCTCACATTCAGTACCTTTATAATCTGATTGTTTTAGCAGCCTGCCAGTTCAATGTTTTTTTTTTACAGTGTAATATTGCAAGAGAAAGAAAACTAATGTGAATCTAGACTGCATCAATAGATGTACAACATTAAGAACAAGTGAATTAATTGTAAGGGATCTCAGAGGCCATATTGTCCAATCCATATCTAAACAGGAATTTTTGCTATCAAACTTCTGCTCCAAGAATCCTAATGAAGGGAAATTTACCACCCGAGGCATCCCATTTTAGTTAGAATTGTTAGGAAGTTTTATCTTATATCAAACATGAATCTACCTCTGCACTTTTAGCCATTGCTACCACGTATGTATTCTAGCCCTATATTTGGAGTTTTGTGTCTAGTTAGGGGTTCTACATTTTGGGAACATTGACAAATTCGAGTTTGCCCAGAGCAGGACAACCAGGATGGTGAAAATATTGGAGGCCTTTCCATATAATGATTAGTTGAAAGAAACAGGAATGTTTACCCTGGAGAGGAAAAGATTTGGGGGTGGACATGAAAGCTGACTTAATTTAATAACCATTTAGTGCATTGTGAAGAACTGTCACACAGAAGAGGGATTAAACTTTTTTTTTTTAACCCCAGAGGACAGAAGTAAGAGTGGTAGGTAAACATTACAGAAGAAAGTTCATTTTGGCTTAGTGTAAGAAAAAGCTTTTTTAACCTTTAAAATGTAAAAAAAATAAAAATAGAACAAGCCTCCCAAGGAGGTAGTTTCTCTTCATCCATCCCATCACTTGAAATGGTTGAGTGGAGAACCACTTGCTAGGGATGTTGTAGAGGGAATTCCTGTTCAGATATTAGACTGGCCTATGTGGCCTCGACCCTCCTACAACTCTGGAGATTCTGCTTTTATCATACCTCAACTATCTTATTTAAAGCTACTACCCTGCTACTCTGCTCTAACCAAACTGGTTTACTAATTTCCCCTGTATGGTGTTTATTTTTACTTCCTACATTTGCCCCTTACCTGGAATGCCCTGCGAGGCCCACTCCATTTCTTGTTTCCTTCATTCGGCCTTCCTTAAGTGCCTTCGAGTTTGATGATTCTTTCTTCTGAACTCTTGTAGCACTTGTTGTCTATCCTGTGAAATTAATACAAGATGTGAAGGTGTGTATTATGATATCTAGTGAGAACAGAGTAGCTGAATTAAAGAGAATACATGTATAAAAAGGGAAAGAAAACCAGAATATGCTTCAATATATCTGTCCTACTTCCCTAAGTAAATCATAAGCTCCTGGACGACAGAGTCTCATAATTTTTATGTCCAGGCTGCCCAGTACACTGTTCTGCGTCTAGTAAGCTTTCAGTAGATATTTGCTGCTGATAACAAAAGGGGGGTGTAGGGAGGCAGTTAAGATAAATGTGAGGCAGTCAGGAAATAAAAATGTGGGGATGACAGGGAAACCAGGAGGTCTGAGTGGCTTCTTTTTTCTTACAGAAGTTATCACTGATGGAAAAGGGGAACATAGAATTGAAGATGCCCCCAGATAAGGCTTCATCTTCTCGATTGCCTGTGCTACGCCTTGGTGCAAAGAGAAAACTAGATAAAGAAAATGCCCCTGAGCCGGAGAAGGTGAGATGGACTATAGATTTGTGGGAGCCAGGGAAGGGAGAGGAGAGAACTGGGTTAATTGGGAAGAGTGGGGAGCCCAAAGAGGTGGTGAGTGGGAAGAGGTTCTCTTCTCTAAAACTATCCTTCCTTTTTTTATATATATATTTTGTTTTTTTCCCCAGTTAAAGACAATTTTTAACTTTCTTTTTTTTTTTTAATTTTGAGTTCCAAATTTTCTCTCTCCCTCCCCCACCTTTCCCTTTCCTGAGACAGTACAGTAAACGATATGATATAGGTTATACATTAAAACTATCCTTTCATTTGTATAGTCTGATGCTGAGTGAAATGAGCAGAGCCAGGAGAACATTGTACGCAGTAACAGCCATGTTGTGCCATGACTAATATTGATAGACTTAACCCTTCTCAGCAATATAAGGATTTAAGACATCTCCAAAGGCCTCATGATGGAAAACACTATCCACATCCAAAGAAAGAACTATGGAGTTAGAATGCAGATCGATGCATACTGTTTGCTATTTTTTTTTTCTCTTGTGTTTTGTTTCCTCTTTCTGATGGTTCCTCCTATTGGTTCTAATTCTTACCTACAACATCACTAATGTGAAAATATGTTTAATAGGAATGTATATGTATAGCCTATATCAGATTGTGCACCATCTTGGGGAGGGAGGTGGGGAGGGAGGGAGAGAAAAATTTAAAACTCAAAAGCTTATGGAAGTGATTGCTGATAATTTAAAATAAATTAATTAAAAATTAAAAAAATTAAAAAAAACCCCTATCCTCTTTCTTTCCTCAGAAGCGGATTCGAGGTCCTGGAACAGCAGTAACTATTGCTGTCTCTCGTCCCAGGGTCTCCACTGTGGCCACTATGCCAAGGGCAAAAAAACAGGAAGCAGGTAAATAAACACCTGTATGTTTGACAAATGACAAAGGAATCCAAAATTTCATCTTCCCTATTTCATATCATTACATGGCTAGAGTAATTTTGTGTTAGGTTGTATGTGCAGTAGGAGATGAACAGATCTGAGAGGAATGGGTACATTATCTCTTTAGAACATGAGGTCAACCCTAGGCTGGCTCTCATATTCTTTCTAGTATAGAAACTGCCCTGAGGATGCTCCCTGTCATTTTCTTCCTTATCTCCTCACAGCCCAGAAGGCTCCCCTGAAAACAGGACCCTGGCATACTACAGCTGCCACCACAGGTGAGTAGGCATCACCAGAAAAATCTCAGGGAAAGGAGCATAAGTTGGAAAGGGAAGAATGATGGAGGTATTTGGCTTTCTGTGAATCTGGGCTTGATCCCAGCTCTGCAGCTTATGACTTAGGTGAACTTAGGCAAGGTACTTAAGACCTTAGTTTTCTCTGTAAAATGAGAGAGTTAGTCACTACCAGCTCCAAATTAATTGATGTTGTTGAAATTATTATCTCTTATTTTTGTACAGATGTGAAGAGTAGAAAGCCAGTCTCTGCCGTCTCTGCACCAAAACCTGGTAGGTGACTAATCTAATCCTTCAGGTTAGGCAATGGACACTTGTAGAGGGAATAGCAGATGTACTGAGTGCTCTACAAAAACTTTTAGCCCATTTCTGTCTCCCCTATGAGATAAGAAGGAGGGAATGGGAGGCAATGATGTTACTCACTGAAAGGAGAAGAGAATGGAGCTAGAGTTTTCACTCACCTTGCTCCTCTTTCCCATTCCTAGTATCAGGAGTGTCCCCTACAACAGCAAAGAAGGGACCTAGCAAGCGTCCAGCCTGGGATGTGAAAGGACAGCTGTGTGACTTACGTAAGGAGTTCAGTGCCTGCCAAGTACAGACTGAGGTTCTAACTAAGGAGAATCGGGAACTAAAGAGCCAGTTTGGGCAAGCTGAGCAACAAGCCAAAACTCTGGAGGCTGAGAACAAGGTGTTGATTGGGGAGCTGACTGAGGCTCGGGCCCAAGCTAAGCAAGACCAGCTGGAGCTGGGGAAGTTGAGTGCCCGGGTCCAGGAGCTGGAGGAACGTCTGCATACTCAGGAAAGCCTCGTTCAGTCGATGCAAGATGAGCAGTTACATTTGCAAGAGGAACGAAGGAACCTGGCTGCTAGGCTAGAGGTACAGGAGGTGAGTGACAGTTGGGTGGACAAAGCATCATCCTATACACGTTCACATGGAGTTCTTGCTAACCCTCCTCTGGGGGATGTTTGACTTTCTTCCTTTTACTTGTGGTTTGGGGTGTGCCTTCCCCTCTCAGGTTTTTCATCTGAGCTACGGGCCCCTCTTCTCAGTTTTGACCCTGCATCTTTCAAGGAATTTCTGTGTATAGTTTCCCTTGCCTCATGCAGTTTCTTTCAACTCGATTTTGATTTCATTTTCTCTCTTCTTTCTTGCCATCTGTGATTTTCTCCTCATCCCCTTTCTTCCATTCTATCTATATCTGCTTTCCTGATGTGCCTTACCCCATCTTCATTCCTCCTTCTGCATCTCTTCCTTATTCTAATCTCTATCTTCATTCCCTCCCCACCAGTTACACCGTTCCCTGTCACAGTGGCCAGTCCTGATACTTTCTTCCACACTTCCTGACCCCACTTTCTCTCTTCCATCTCTGTTCTATGCCAGGCACAACTCCAGGAATCAATGGCAGCCCTGGCCAAGAGTCAGGCAGAGATCACAGCCCAGGCAGTCTTGTTGGCTGAGAGGACAGAGCATCTGCATGGTCTTGAGATGGAGCGTCGGTATCTTCACAACCAGCTACAAGAGCTCAAGGGTAACATCCGGGTCTTTTGCCGAGTCCGCCCTGCCCTACCTGGAGAGCCCACGCCACCTCCTGGCCTCATCCTCTTTCCTCCTGGGCCCAATGGGGCCTCCGAACCTTCCACTCGACTCAGCCTTACTCGGCCACCTGAAGACCGGTGTAGCATCATAGGAGGGCTACCAGGTCCTCCTGTCCGATATGACTTCTCCTTTGACAGAGTGTTCCTACCAGGAAGCAAACAGAACGAGGTGTTTGAAGAAGTCTCCCTGCTTGTGCAGTCAGCCTTGGATGGTTACCCTGTGTGCATCTTTGCCTATGGCCAAACAGGCAGTGGCAAGACATTCACGATGGAAGGAGGGCCAGGGGGAGATCCTCAAGTTGAGGGGCTGATCCCACGAGCTGTAAGGCATCTGTTTTCAGTAGCCCGGAAGCTGGAGGCCCAAGGCTGGAGCTATACTTTTGTGGCTAGCTATGTGGAGATCTATAACGAAACCATCAGGGACCTGTTGGCCTGTGTGGGTGGGGCCCAGAAGTGCCAGGGGGTTGAGTATGAGATTCGACTGGCTGGTCCTGGAAGTAAGGAACTTATTGTCACCAATGCCCAATATGTCCCCGTTTCCTGCGAAGAGGAGGTAGGGATCGAGGTAGACAGATGGGGATAAGCTCAAGGGACAAGAGAGGAGACTGGGAAGTGGGGAGATGGAGTTGGAGGTGGGGTGCGGGGATATAGGAAAGATTTGAGGCTGTGGGAAGTTGTCGGATTAGGTGCAAGGTACTGGAAGTGGGGGAATGTTTGTTCTACAGAAACCCAGAGCTGGGGAAAGAGTATATGTGTGCTCACTGAGAAGATGCTGACAATGACAATCTTACTCTCCGAATTCAGGTGGAGTCCCTGCTCCATCTGGCTCGTCAGAATCGGGCAGTGGCTCGAACAACACAAAATGAACAGTCTTCACGAAGCCACAGTGTGTTCCAGCTGCAGATTTCAGGAAAGCACATGGGGCAGAACTTACACTGTGTAGCCCCTCTCAATCTAGTGGACCTGGCTGGGAGTGAAAGACTGGACTCGGGCTTGTCCACTGGCCCTGGAGATCGAGAAAGACTGAAGGAGACCCAGGCCATCAACAGCAGCCTCTCTACTCTGGGCCTTGTCATCATGGCCCTGAGCAATAAGGTAGGGATAAGGGAGATCATAGCTGAGCCATTTGTTCTGAAATTTTAAAATACTGACTTGTCCCATTTTAATGCCACCTCCCCCACACCCCAGGAGCCACATGTGCCATACCGGAACAGCAAGCTCACGTACCTGCTGCAGAATTCTCTAAGGGGCAGTGCCAAAATGTGAGTTGGGCTGGGAGTAATGGGAATAGCAACTGATACACCAGGGTGTTAAGGATGGAAGGAATTTGAGGACTAGCTATAAGCAACACTAACAGGTGTGGACAAGGGAGGGATAAATGTCATAGGAATGTTGCCTTTGTGCTGAACCCCATCTCCCACCTAGGCTTATGTTTGTGAATATCTCCCCATTGGAAGAAAACTTCTCAGAGTCCCTCAACTCGCTGCGATTTGCCTCCAAGGTAGGTACATCTCCCATTTTGGACCATAGGCTAGGACACACTAATTGTTTATTTTTGACTTCTGTCCTGTCAGTCCCTGGCTCTTTGAAGGGCCACTTTGCTTTTGCCTAGGTTGCCTACCAGGGCTCACTATAGCCCCTCTGCCAGGGCTAGGGTATCTGGGCACCTGCTTCCAGATTTCCTTGGAAGGAGTTTGAGAAGGATTGTATCTGTCCCAAGGAATTGTTCTGGTGCTGACACAGGCATCTCTTTTCCCCTTCCAGGTAAACCAGTGTGTTATTGGCACTGCACGAGCTAACAAGAAATAGAAGGACCAGTCTTTGTGTCCTGTGTGTATGTGGTTTTTATGTATGTGTAAAAGGTGGTATTTGTAATTCATTAGAGTGGCAACTGGCATTATATAACTAGGTTAATATAACCATAAATTACAAAATAAAGTTATCTTAGCACGTGTTGTCAGAGTAATTTTATGCATTGGTTACTTTTGTTGAATTGTTGTCACTTTGTTCTTCAAGAAGCCGATGCCTAAGTAGAAATGTATTTGGAAATGAAGGCAGTGTAGAAAACAAAGCAAAGATCCCTCTAGAAATTGCTTTCTTTCTCCACTTTCTCGGGAAGTTTTTTTCTGGAAAGCTGGGGTGAGAGGCCGAGCATATGGACCGGGATCCCTTTTCCTGAGGGTCTGTGGTGTCGCCGGGGCTTGGAGAGCGGCCCGGGCATCTCATCCCGCCTTTCCCCACCGTTCGAATGGGTCATCCGCGGCTCCGCGGCGCGTTCTGGGCTGGGCAGCTGCGGCCTAAGCCTCGGTGGGCAGGGCTGAGCGGGCTCCGGGATGACTCAACGCCCGCTCCCGAAGACCCGCCAGCGAGCTCCCGCTGGAGCGCCCCATTCAAACGGCCCGAGCCCCGCCCCGCTTCCTTTTCATTGGCTCTGTCTGCGTTAACGCCCCCGGCCCCGGCAATTGTCCGACAGCCCCACTTCGGCCCTCGGCCCTCCTACTTCCTTACTGCCCCGCGCCTACCGCCCTCCTGGGCCTAGGGAAGCAGATAGGCGAACGCTGCGCCAGTCCCCAACGGCCCCGCCCCGGCGGGGAGAAGGGGGAGCTCCAGTTCCGCAGGTGCCGCGCGAGGGGTCGGAGCGGAAAGGTGGGGAAGGGAGGTGGATCCGCGCATGCGCCCTGGCGGGGGAGGCTGGGTGGGCGAAACCGGAGGGGAAAGGGGGCGGGGCTCGGGGCAATTGGGGGGGCAAGGGCGGGGGGGCAAAGGTGCGGGAATGGACCGGTGGGGGCGGCGCTCGGGCAATTTCGGATTGTGGCACGAGGCGCTGAGGCCGCGGTGGGGGCGGGGCCGGGGCTGGAGCGGAGCAGGGATTCCCTGCCGCCGGGGGCGGGCCGGGGCCACTCGGAGGGATTCCCCGTCGGCCTCGGCGCCTAGGTCCTGGGAGGAGGGCGTGCATCCAGCCCCACCCCACCCCGCGTGGCCCTCCCGGGAGGAGTAGGGGGTGGGGTGAGGTGGTTCCCGCCCCTCCCCCCAGCTCCTCCCTCCCTCCCAGGCCTCCCCCCCCAGCCAGTCCGTCCCTCCCCCCTCCCTCCCTCCTCCCCTCCTCCCTCCCTCCCCCCCCCTTCCCTCCTCCTGCTGCTGCCGCCGCCGCCGCCGCCGCTGCTTTGGCTGCTGCGTCATACGCCCCAGAGCAGCCGGGACGGAGGGGCCGGGCCTGGGGACCCCCCCAGCTTCTGTCTGCCCCCTCCTCCGGACGCCTGGACATCTCGGCCCCCGCCCCGGCCCCCCCACGGCTCCCCCTCCCCAGCTCCCCGGCGGCCGCAGCTGTCACCGGTAAGGAGGAGGCGGGGAGGGCGGGGGGGCCCCCGAAGGAGGAAGGGGAGGGGGGAGTCCGGTCCGGGGAGGGCCCCCCCAGAGGCGTTGGCGCTAGGTGAGGAAAGGGAGCCCCCCTTTGGCTCCCCCCCACCCTACCTCTCCAGTCACATGCATGCAGAGACCCCCTTTCTCAAGGGGGCTGCCTGATGTCACCTCCGGGTTTGCCCCATCTCGGGGAGTAGAGATTGGGACCGGGACACGCCCCCCTCCCTGGGTACACGGGGAAGTTATCCACCCCACCCCACCCCCCAGCCCTGGGTTAGAGAACCTCAAATTTGAGGGGGGACTCAAGATCATCCAGGAATAGGAAGAGTCTTCAGAATGGATTGGAGAGAATCTCATTACTGAGGACCCCCCTCCCTCGAAAAGCAGGTTGTCTGAACTCTGACATCTCTGGACAGGGAAATTCCAAGATGAAGCCAGCCAGGATGTAGGGGTGGGACTAGGATCTAAGGGGAGGCCTCTCTTTCTCCAATCCATCATCCTCTTAAAATCCTTGAACCAAGAGAGAAACTCCCTGGGAGAACCAATCCCTGGAGTTATCTTGGGGGTGGGAGACTAGAGAATCAGGTGTCTGCTCCCTCTGTCTATAATCCTAAATCCTGTGATATTGAACTGGGGGAGAGCAATGAGAAAGCTGGGATCTTGAATACTTGAGTCCCCTTAGGGGAGCCAAGCAGGGAAAGGTGGATGCTATTGGGGGTGGGGGGAGGTAACTCTCCCCCCTTTTCCTGCCAGGCTCCCCAGGATGCAATGGCGCAGCCCTCCCGGCTGAGCCGCTCTGCTGCCCCCCAACCCTGGGAGCCCACTTCCCCAGCCCCTACCCCAGGTACCAGACCCCGGCTTTGGGAGGGGCAAGATGTTCTGGCCAGATGGACCGATGGACTCCTTTACCTGGGCACTATCAAGAAGGTGAGATCTAAACCTCTGACCTCAACCTTAACCCCACTTTTTTCCTGCAACATTAACTTTAGCATTCCCTTTCCATCCTCTTGACTTAGATGAACTCTGTCCATTTCTCAGCATTCACCCCCTTTTCCCTCTCCCAGGTGGATAGTGCTCGGGAGGTCTGTCTAGTCCAGTTTGAAGATGATTCCCAGTTTCTTGTTCTATGGAAAGACATTAGCCCTGGTGAGACGCAAGGGAGTTTGGTCCCTAAAAGGAAGCAAGGACTGGGGGACCAGAAGCTTGACTGAGGCTAGAGCCTCAGAGCTTTTTCCTGTTCTGCTTCATAGCTGCCCTCCCCGGAGAAGAGCTGCTGTGCTGTGTCTGTCGATCTGAGTCTGTGGTCCCTGGGAACCGGCTGGTCAGCTGTGAGAAATGTCGACATGGTAAGGAATAACATTTGACCTCTCCTAGCCTTTTGGGGTATCACACCTCCACAGCCTATTTCTGTGATTTCCTTTCCGTAATTTCCCTTCTTTCCCCTTTTCCTATCCCAGTAATCCTGAATCTTTTCCCCCTAGTCATTCTTCCCAATACTTCACCCTCAACCCTCCATGATCCCTTTTCTCACCCCTCAGCGTATCACCAGGATTGCCACATTCCAAGAGCCCCAGCCCCTGGAGAAGGAGATGGCCCATCCCCTTGGGTCTGCAGACAGTGTGTCTTTGCAATCGCCACTAAGGTACAGGGATCACTCCTCTTGATGGTAGATAACCACTGACCTCTCTCTATACATTCACTTCCCATCCAGTCCCCAAGCTGTAACTAACTCTTCTCTTTCATCACCACCACACTATCTCAATGTGTCTGTCCCTGCAGAGGGGAGGTGCCCTGAAGAAGGGGCCTTATGCACGGGCAATGCTGGGGATGAAGTTGTCTCTGCCATATGGGCTGAAGGGGCTGGACTGGGATGCAGGACACCTGAGCAACCGGCAACAGAGCTACTGTTACTGCGGGGGCCCTGGGGAGTGAGTCACTAAAAGGAGGGAAGGAATGGGGAGGCTTCCTGGAGGGGGGTGATGCCAGTGAGTCAAGGTGGGTGCTAGGGATTTTGGGGAAGGGAACCCAGCTGTAGTAGTGGAAGCAATGGCAAGTGATAGGGTCATGGAAGCAGAGCAGCTGCAGGCCTCACTTGGTACTGTCTCTCAGGTGGAATCTAAAGATGCTGCAATGTCGGAGTTGCCTCCAGTGGTTTCACGAGGCTTGCACTCAGTGTCTGAGCAAACCCCTCTTGTATGGGGACAGGTGAGCCTCAGGACACAGACGGGGTGGGGTGGGGGTGGGACACGGGGGTTGTAGGGCACTGAGGGGGGATGGAGGCTAATTCTTTAATGTTTGTCCATGATCCAGGCTTCAGCTTCTTTTCCCACCCCCTTTTCTCCCTCCCATATCTTGGTTACTTCTCTACTACTTTATTCATTGCTAATTTCTAGGTTCTACGAGTTTGAGTGTTGTGTCTGCCGAGGGGGACCTGAAAGTGTCAAAAGACTTCAGCTGCGATGGTGAGCTAGGCCAGGGGAATTCGTTGAGACTCCGTGTCTATTGCCAACCTTCACGTCAACAAATTCTGGTGTTATGACTCCTCTGGGCCAGGCTCTGGCCTTAAGGCTGGGGATGGAAAGTCCTTACCCTCAAGGAGCTCACAGTCTGATGGGGGAGGCAAAGTACAAACAACGTTAGATGAACTAGATGGAGGCAGAATAAATTGGAGATAATCTCAGGGAAGACAATAGCATTAAAAGTGCACAGAAGGTGGCATTTGTTCCTCATACCCACATAACTGTGGCCCTATATTTCTCTAGGGTGGATGTTGCACATCTTGTCCTCTATCACCTCAGTGTTTGCTGTAAGAAGAAATATTTTGACTTTGACCGAGAGATCCTGCCATTCACTTCAGAGAACTGGGACAGCTTACTCCTGGGGGAGGTAGGGGGGAGGGGGTGCTATTTGAGTGGGACAAGGGGGAAGAAATGCTGAGAGAGGATTTTATTGCAACTATTAACCTGCTCTCTTCTCCTCCAGCTCTCAGATACCCCTAAAGGAGAGCGTTCCTCTCAACTTCTCTCTGCCCTAAACAGCCACAAGGACCGGTAAGTGACAGTGTGGGGTGGGGCAGTGCACTTCGGGGTCCACAGAAGAATGAAATAGAGGTATGGGATATTAAGCAACTGAAGAGAACCTTAGCTGCAAATGGAGAAAAGTTGCATCTCTGGGAGGAGCAACATGGCAGGCCAATGTGTCTTTTCTGTCTTACTGCTATTTTCCCTCCACCCTTAGGTTTATCTCTGGGAAAGAGATAAAGAAACGGAAATGTCTGTTTGGGCTCCATGCTCGGACTCCTCCCCCTGTGGAACCCCCCACTGGAGATGGAGCACACACCAGGTCACTGGCCCAGGGGGGGTGGGAAGCACTTTCTGGGATTTATCTGGGGAAAATGTACCTCTGGGGGTTTTCAGGAGGGGGCTGGGGGGGTAAGGAGGCCTCTTACAGCTTCCCTTCAGGGCAGGGCCCGGGGGTGGGGGTCTCACGCCCCCTGGGGAAGCGTCGGCGACTGGAGCCAGAGCCTCGGAAGAAGAAATCACCAAAGGGGAAGGAAGAAGAGCTGGGGGAACCCCAGGAGGGTCGGGATCGGCCAGAGCCCAGGGAGCAGAGGGAGCGGGCACGTCTTCGGAGGGCGCTGCAGGTAAAAGGGATGTGGGACAACTAGAAGTGAGTTAGGGAAGACGTAGCAGTTATATAGTAGTATGCTAGATTTGGGTCAGGATTTGAACTTGGGTTCAAATCATGTTTCTGATAATTTGCCACACATGTGACCACAGGCTTGTCATTTTCCTTCTCTGACCTTCGGTGTCTTTTTTTCTGTAAAATGAGGGTGATAATAGCTGCACTACCTCCACAGTAGGGTTACTGTGATGCTCAAATGAGATAATGAAAATTACTTTGAAAATGTTATGCCAAAATGTAGATATCAGTTATCATTGTTAATAACAGTTAATTGGTTGGAGCAGCTAGGTGTCGCAGTGGATAGAGCACCGGCCCTGAAGTCAGGAGGACCTGAGTTCAAATCTGGTCTCAGACATATAACACTTAATAGCCGTGTGACCCTGGGCAAGTCACTTAATCCTATTGCCTAGCCCAAAAAAAAAAAAAAGTTAATTGGTTATGTGAGGGTCGCAGTACCCTTTTAAGAGTATTTCTCTCCCCACTCCCTTTCCAGGCTTCAGTGTCTTCACCTCCCTCCAGCCCTAACCAGAGCTACCAGGGCAGCAGTGGCTACAATTTCCGGCCCACGGATGCCCGCTGCCTGCCCAGGTGAGTCTTCCCTCTTCCCCAATTATAACTCCCTGGAACCTTACCCAAGCACACACCACCCCCATCAACCCCATAGATAGTAGTCCAGGGGAGACTTTGAGCAACTCCCTCACCTATCCATATTGGTTGGGAGGAGGGCAGTGTTTGGGCTTCAGTCTTCCCTTTGAATCTTTATTCTGCTATGGGGAGGTGGGTCCCATCCTCCCCAAGTGACCCCACCCCACACAACTCCAGCAGCCCTATCCGGATGTTCGCCTCCTTCCACCCCTCGGCCAGCACTGCAGGAACCCCTGGGGATGGAGACCCCCCAGACAGGTGAGGACCCCCCATCCTATGTGCTTGTAATTCCCCCTTCCCTCAAACTCTCTGGTGTCTTCCCCTTTCTCTTCCTATATATTTTAATCCCTGAATATCTACGTGTGATTCCAATATTGTTTTCCTCTATAAGAAAAAATATTTTCTCTGTTCCAAGTAGGATAAATCTGCTTTTACCCTTTTTTTTCTATAGGTCACCCCTGGACCTTCAAGTTGCTGGTTTCCCTTCAGATTCCCCAAGGAGCGTTCCCCACTCAACATCATCTTCATCCCCAGGCCCCTCTCCTGTTCCCTCCCGAAGATCAGCTCCCCAGGGTCCCTCCCCTCTATGTCGTGGCTTATCTCCTGGAGCTGGTGTGGGAACCCGGGTAGGGGCTGGGTACCTGTCCCGAGGAGACCCTGTCCGTGTGCTGGCTCGGAGGGTTCGACCTGATGGCTCTGTGCAGTACCTTGTGGAGTGGGGTGGGGGAGGCATCTTCTAAAAGGAGGAGCTGATTGCTCTTCCTCTCCCTAGCCCTTATTCACATACATACAACAGGCACTTTCACACCCTGACTTCTGACCTCACCTGCAGCTGGGATGTACCTGGGGGGGTGGTCTGGGGTGGGGGTCCTTCCCTACCACCCAGGCTGGAGTCAGGTGGGGAGAGGCCCCTTTCTTCCTCAACCACCCCTTCATGATTCCTGACCCTACAGCCTTTTTCCCATTTCTCGTGATATTTTGTTACAGCTTTTTTTATATTTTTAAAAGTTATTTAACCCCTTAGGGGAAGGGGAGGGGGATAGAATAGGGAATCCTGGGCTCTGTATGGTTGGAAATAAAGATAAATATACCCTTCAGAAACTTGAATCATCTTAATAAAGAGGAAAAATGGATGGAATGGGTTGGGGCTTACCACTGTACCCTCAATGAATACTCATAAAAACGATACATGTAATAAGTGGTCAAGAGGCAGCATTCTGGGCATAGGGTTTATTAGAGAAAGTGAGAGACAGAGAAAGTATAGAAGTTAGTCTGAGGTATCAGAGTAGGCTCAGAAGTCATCAAAATAGAGTCATCATTGATGAGTGGTGCTATCTTTTACCCAGTGAAGGTATGGAAGGTTCCCCTGTTGCACAGGTAATGTAATGACTTCTACCACTTCATATGGGTGAACAGAACTAGAGGAACAGGAAAGGTCAACAAGAGTTGAGCAGTATTTCCTCATCCTCCTGCAAATACATCCAGGACTCATCTCCCACTCCCACCAAAAAGCTAATCCTGATATTCTCACCGAATAAATTCTGTCAAGGGTGGTGCCAAGGCAGTCTGAGTCTTCATCATCTGAAGGAGAGAGAACTAGATCAGGAAACTGGATAGGAAGAGCAGGAGCTAAAATAATTACCAGGAAAGAGCTGGAAGGGGTAAGGTCTCACCATCATCACCTCACTGTCTTCCTCAATCTTTCCTTTCCATTCATAACTGAAAGACACCAAAAGGATGAGTTACTGGGGAGAGGAGATACACACTCTCCCTAGGAAATATCTCCACACACTTTCCCATGACTTACATAGATGTAATCTGAGGTATTAAATTGACACAGGCAGCCAGTCGCTTCTCCACCACAGCCCTGGAAATAAACGGAGCTCAGTTCGCAGCTGATCCTCTTTGCTTCCAACACCCTCTACCCCAAAGGCTCGAAAGGAAGTAGTAACTAAAGAGCCCCTCAACTGCCCCTCCAACTTTCCTCCTCCTTCCCCTAATGCTCTGACCCCTTCCCTCCTTCCTCCCCAACCCCCAACCTGGCAATAGTCTTGGCGATCTTGTCATTGGGGCAGGTGACAAAGACGACTGAGACAGAGCCAGCGACGTAGTCCGAACCAGTGGGAGCGGGGACTGAGGCTTCGGGAGGCCGTGTGGCCATGGAGATAGCTCGAGGGAGCAGCCGTAGGTAGGGGTACGTGGAGAGCAGCGACTGCATGCACAGAAAGGCCAGGAACAATGCAGCCTGGGGAGGGGGGTCGCGATGAAAGGATGAGCCCCAGCTCCTAAGCCCCAGCCTGGCTTGAGGACCCCGGAACTTATGTCCACTCCAAACCAAGGAATCTAGATGTGGGTAGCACCCTCTCCCTCCTCGCTCCCCGGTTATCACGGATGCAGAACGAAGACCCTAGGCTAGGGGTCACAGGGGCTAAGAGGCACAGACTCTTGCCCAGAAGGGGAGGGGAGGGTAGAAGATCGATCTGGAGGCCGGGTGGGCAGGTTCAGTTATCTTCCGAAGGGGGTGGGGGTCGTCACTCACCACTCCGCCGAGCCAGACTTGGGGGCCCCGCCTCACCAACATGCAGCCTACGTGGGCAAAGGTAGGGGGTCAGGGTCAAAGGTCACGTCACTGAACGGGAGGAAAACGTCCCAGAACCTAGCACAGAAAAACCAGAGAAAGCGTACCTGTATGGCGACCACGTGACAAGAAGGCCCGAACCCTCACCATACCACGTGACAAAGGAAGCACCTCGTTTACCGCCCCCACCCCCAATCCCAGAGGTCCAGTGTTTTCGATTTACCCCCGCCCCCAAGAAGAGCTAGTCGATGGGACGGAAGGGGAAGAACTAGACAATTAGGAACAGAATCCATGGACACGTGCCATCCCCACCTCCGCCTCTGAATGACCGTTAAAAATCATTTGCCCAAAAGCTAGACTCGTTGCGGTCTTCTCCCGTCACGTGATGTAGGAGGCTGGAGGATGACGAGGACAGTCCTAGGGGAGGGGAAGGAAGGGGAGGGCAAGATGTTGTTCACAGCCAAAGTAGGACTTCCGCGCGAGATGGAAGCTGGCCAATCCTAATACAGTTCCTCATACCACGTGCCATGGGCTTGGGGCGGAGCGATATAGGCAGAAAACTCCTCCCAGTCACTGCGTCAGTGTTGGGTTGGTGAGTGTGGTTTCATCTTGATGTTAAGTATAGAGTGGAACTTGCTGGTGGTGCTCCCCTTTTCCACTAACAATTAGTAAAATTGTCCATAGAGTGATATTAGGCTGATGAAGTAAGGAGAAGCCGAATCGTAATGAGGAGTTAGACCTTTGGTAAAGAGACGGTTGTAGCGTTCCATCTTGGGGGCTGTGTGACTTTGGCCTCATTTTCCTAATCTGTAAACTTAAAAAGGTTGAGCTCCCAAGTACTTTTGATTGTAACTCTAAGTGTGACCCAGGAGAAACTCAACTGCCTAGTGCTAGCGAGAGAATAATTAAACAGGGTGAAGTGGAGAAGTCCAAAGAGAATATAAGGGGGAAAGAGAGGAATAGAAAGGCTTTGGAAGCATTCAGAACTCGTAAATTCTACGTGACACAAAGTGATGAGAAATGGGGTTCGTGCTGTCTTTCACAGTATAGCCAGAATTTCAGAATTAGTTGAAGACTAATATTTTAAAGTGTCTGTTATATGTTTGACGGTAGAAAGAGCAGTGGACTTGGACCCAAAAGACTTGAGTTCCCATCCTGCCTCTGTAATCTATTGTGATCTTGAACAAGTCAACCTCTTTGAGTCTAACTTTCCTTACTTATAAAAAGATAACACTTCTACAACCTACTTAACAGGGTTACTGTGAGAAAAATACTTTAACTCTTAAATATAAGCCGAGGTGCATGGATAGCACCTTGAGTCAGGAAGATGGTTCAAATTCTACCTGCCATTTACTGTATGAACTTGGGCAAATCACTTCTCTCAGTCTGTTTCTTCATCTGTAAGATGAGATATTGATAATATCGGAGATATTGCAAATCTTAAATCACTATATAAATGCTAGCTATGATGATGATGTGCATGAAACAGAAGCAATATGATGTAGTGGATAGTGAAATTTGGACCTGGGTTCAAATATAGCCTATGACACTAGCTGTGTGACCCTCTGCAAGTCACTTGCCTTCTCTGAGTGTCATAAAACTCATCCCTTAAGAGAATTTCTTCCCAAAGTTTCTTGGCATGGTGTAAACACTGGTAGCACCTATGTAGTATAGGTACTGCTAGGCACAAAGAAGATAAAGATAATCTTCATACTTAGCGATTTTAAGGAGCTTACAGTCTAGTAAGAGATAAATACAATTCAGTTCAAATAAATTAAGGTCAACAAATATTAAGCATCAATTTTGATACTTTTGGATGCTATGGATAGAAAGATGAAAAACCATACTCCTGCACTCAAGAAGTTTAAATCTAGTAGGAGGGAATAAGATGCACACAAATAAATTGTGATACAAGGTAATGACAGAGGCAGAGGAAGAACTACGAAGATATAATTTAAGAAAATGGAAATCATTGGCCTTGGAGTCAGAATGTCTAGCTTGGAATTAGAGCTCCTTATTTGCAATGTGGCACAGCTAGGTGGTCCAGTGGATAGAGCACTGGGCTTGGAGCCAGGAAGACCTGAGTTAAAATCCATCCTCAGACACTTTCCAGGCGTGTGACCCTGGGCAAATCACTTAACCCCTATTTGCCTTATGGATCACTGCCTTGTCATGATGATAGTCAGCCCTAGCTGACAAAAAGTAATCCACTGGAGAAGGAAATGGCAAACAACTCCAGAATCTTTGCCAAGGAAACCCCATGGACTGTCATGAGGTCACAAAGAGTCAGATATGAGACTGAACAACAAATTAGGCATGTGATGTTGAACAAGTCACTGGGCAAGGCCTACCTCAATGTGCCTCAGTTTCCTTATCTGCAATCTCTAAGATTCTCTCTAGCCCTGACATTTTGTGAACTTTGTGAACCACAGGAAGTTGGGAAGGCACAGAGGTGCCATTTGAACTAGACTACAACTTTGTGGACATTAGTGGAAAAGGGAAGAGAAGATATTGGAGAGATCACATATGAAGGAGACATGGGTGATACGGTGGTTCAGCACATCCTCCAACCCTATCCTTCTTGAACTCCACCTACTCAGGCTACCCTCTCTTTACCCTGCCCTGCTCTGGGTCTCTAACCTACCCTGTACCCTATGGATCCAGGGACTGCCCTACATTCTTTCCCTTGGGCCCAGGCACATCTCATGACCCAAAAATGGAGACAGGGGGCCAAGTTAGATGAGAGGTGGAAGCAGCAGCAGAGAAAAAAGCTTCCTATCCCCAAATGATGGGGTCTCTAATATGTTGCTTAGTCTCAAGTCTTTTTCTCTAAAAACTTTCTTTGGGTTTGGGGTCTCTCTTGGGTTAGGCATCTCATTGAGTTAATAAGGTCTCTCTTGGTTGGGAGGGATCTGTGTCAGGGGAACCCATCTCATCCTGAATCTAGAATCTGTTTTGAGTCTAGAATGTCTGTCTCTGAAATTTCTCTTTGCATCTGAGGGGCTGGGTCTCTTAGATCTCTGTCAGATCTCCTCCTAGGTCCTAAGTCTCAGTTTTAGAGATCTCTGAAATCTCTGGGTCTGATGTCTCTTAGATCTCATCCACTGGGTCTGAGATCTTTCTTTCTTAGTTCTCCCTCTGGGTCTGGGGTCTTTCCATCTTAGATATCTCTCCAGATCTGGATTCCCTTACCTATCTTTCTTCAGGTTTCTCTTACCTATCTTTCACTGGGTCTGGGGTCTCTTTGCATGACATCCCCCTCTCTGGGTCTGGGGTCTCTTTATTTGGCATCTCCCATTTCTGAGTCAGGGGTCCCTGTCTTTGATTCTGTCTGGGTAGGGGTGGGGGCTGCAGTGCATCTCCTCCTCCTCCTGCTCTCTCTTCTCTGTTCCCCCGCCCCCCTCTCTCTCTGCTGCTGCCGCTGCTGTTGGCTCCTTTTCTCCTCCTCCTCCTCCTCTCTCCTCCTCTCTGCTCCTCTCTGCTCCTCTCTCCTCCTCTCTCCTCCTCCTCCTTCTCCCCCTCTCTCTCTCTCTCCCCCTCTCTCTCTCTTCTCCTTCTCCCCTGTCCCCCCCGCCCCCTCCCCCCCAGGCCTGATGAGCAGGTCTCGAGCCTCCATCCATCGGGGGAGCATCCCCGCGATGTCCTATGCCCCCTTCAGAGGTACGAGGTGGGGGGAGGGGGGGAGCATCAGGAGGGGGAGGGGGAGGGGGAGGGGCAGGGGGCGGAGGAGAGAGGAGGCCTGGGTGAGGGGGAACGAAGGGGAGAGAGGGTGAAAGAAGAGGCCGGAGAGTCTGGCGTGGGGGGGAACTGGGAAAGGGGGTGTAAATGGAGGCTGGAGCGATGAGGGGATTAGGGGGATAAGAAAAGCAGGCCTTGGAAGAATATTGAGAAGAAATAAGATGAAGGGATGAAGAAGTAGAGGAGACACATAAGGGAAAGGTATAGGGGAGAACAGATATAGGAATATGGGGGTATTAAGAAAGGGGAGGGACATGGAGATGGAGAAGGAAGAGAGAAGGGGGGAAATAGGAAGATAGGGATGGGGAAAAAGGAGAGGACAGTATGATGACGGGGTAGAGGGATGAAGACGGAAAAGAGGGGTGAGAACCAGGTAGATAGGGCTGGAGGATGAAGGGAGAGAAGAAGAGGCCAGATGGAGGAGGGGGAGGGGGGGAAAGGGAGTGATGGAGGGGCCAGATGGAGGGAGGAAAGAGTGGGGAGGGAAGGTGGGCTGGGGGAGGGGGAAGACCAGGGCAGAGGGAGGGCCAGATGGGGGGGAGGGAGCAAGCAAGACTAGGAGGTGGGGAACTGGGCCTCCCCCTCCTCCCCAAGTCCCTAACCAATGAGATAGAATTGGAGTCCTACCTTATTTCCATTTCACCACCAACATCCCTCCTCCCTTCACTTCCCTATATTCAGTCCCTGTCCCACCCTTAGTGTCCATCACTTATGTCTGTCCCCCCCCATATGGTGTACATCCCTTATATTAGTCCCCTTTTATGTCCATCCCCTATATCTGTCCCCTCTCCTGGTGTCCGTTCCTTATATCCCTCCTCCACCTGGTGTCTCCCTTATATCTGTCCCATCTTCTTAATCCCCTCCTATTCCCCTCTTTCTTCCCTTGATTGTCTTCCCTTATCATGCTTATCTATTTCTCTGGTCCATATCCAATTATCATCTCATGGTATTTCTTTCCCAAGGGGTACTTACTATCTCTGTCTCTCTTCCTAAGTCTGTTTTATATCCCCCAGTCCATAACATGTTCCCTTCCTTCCCCCAGTATTCTACTGCAAGGCTTAGCCATGCCTTACCTCCTCTCACCTCTAATGGCCCATTCCTTATCTCATTCCACTTTCCTCTTTTCCTGACTCCTTAGGTTATTTTGTAAATTTGGGGGTGGGGTGGGTGGGACAAGGAGATGGGATTAAGGGCACAGGAATGAGCACTCATGAGATTACCTTCCCCTTATTCATGGACCACTCATTTCACACACACACACCTCCCCACATGTACACACATTTGCTTCAACTAGTTTTGTCCTGCCTCTACTTATTTTCAGGCCTAGGCCAGGGACTATGGGGAAGGGGAGGAGAGAGAAAGGATGGGAGAGAAATAGGAATCCCTATTAGGCTGACAAGTTTATATGCCTTTCCCTCACTTCTTCCAAGAGGAAGTATTTCTTGAGGTCTAACTTTCCTCCCTTTTGCTGCAGTTAGCCCCTCCCTCAGTGGAATGTAAGGTTTTTTTCACCTGGAGTCCTGATGCTTATCGGGGAACTAGGATTTGTACTGTCTGGAGTATTAACATGTTTTTGGTATGAGTGTCTGAGTTTTTCATGTCTGAAAAGTGTTAGGGTATTAGTAGATGAGAGTGGTAGTATTAGGGTATTTAACAGTTCAGTGTGTCTGTTGTTGGAGAGTG